CAAATGACATTTCGTGTTCTTTTTAAAAAGGAATGTTTACCCCTCGCTTGCACTTGTTAGCAAGATGGACGCTTCCGACGGCAGCGTTGGGATTTTCCGTCTCGTTGATAGACAGCCGTTGCTCATCACAGCCATTTGACAAATTATGTGGTTGCAATGTGGAAAGCGGGTCCGCTGATAACGGTTGTTAGAAGACGAATTGAGGTTTAGAACACCTGTATACAGAATGTAACAAAAAGGTAAGTCATAAATGAATCCACATATTCTGGGCTCAAAAATAACTTGATTGAACATAACCATCTTAATGCAAATGTGCACACAGTTACCCCTTGAGAAGTACAAAATTAAAATCATTTTTTTTTTCAATATTTCATAATCTTTTTAGAATTTTTTAATGAAAATGGATACATGGTATTCATAAAAGTTTTCATATAAAACCACGAAATCTATTCAGCCCGTAAAAATTTTAAGGGGTTTTGAACCCCTAAACCCCAAAAACTTTTCTATGCATTACAATTTAATTACTTTTGTGATTCAAAACATATTTTTTTAAATTTTTTGCCTTTCAGCACTTATTCGAACAGCCAATTTTTATCGAGATATGGCCTATTTTTCATTGTCTTTCAAAAATTTTGAGTAACAAAAAGTAAGTCATAGTATTCGCCTGTACACAAAATATGTACAAATGTGTAGTATTTACTATAATAAATATTCAAAATAACCTCTATTTTCCTGAATACACATTCGGCACCGTTTTAAAAAGGAAAACAACATTTTTTGGAAGAAAATTGTCTTCTGACGAAATCAGTTTGCACTTTCGATGCCTCAGTTATTGTTCATCGATTATTTTAACAGAACACACGTCTTCTTTCATAAAAGCCCAAAAGCAAAAGCCAATAGGTGTAAGATCTGGACTTCTTCCAATTTAACGTCCAGGGTACAGACCGAAAACATATTTTCTAACTTCGGTATCGAAATAAATACCACATATTTTGTCCTATTCCTAAATTTACCTATATCAAGTACTCTGGTAAATCATTTTGTAAGAACTGCAAGTAATTTGCACTATTTAAATTATTTGGAAGAAATAATGGTCCTATTAAATTATTATTCACAATGCCTGCCCAAACATTGACTTTAAAAATAGAATTTACTATTGACCTTTAAATAATATTAAATTCTTATAAACCGATTTCATGCGGTTGCTTCTGTCAAAATTTTTATTATTGTGTAATAATAATAAATTAATAATAATAACTTTAGCATACAATATAATACAATAATGTATAAGCATATATGTAAATAAAATAATTTGTAAATAAATAAAGTTTATAGAGACTCTGGAAGTGTTTAAAACACTTGTTTCGAGCTCATAACAATAATCATAACTGTAATGTAGATGGATGCTACTAACTTTAATATAAAATCATAGTAGCAGCTGAACGCGTAATGATCTTTTTTCTACAAGAGTGCGAGAAGATGATCTTCTCGCACTCTTTCGAGTGCGAGAAGTTTATCTTCTCGCACGCAGAGAAATATAAATTGAAAGAAAAGCAAGGTATACTTACCGCCAAGGCTTGGGTTTGAACCTAAGATCTTTGCGTTATGAGCCCGAAACCCTAACCACTACACCAATTCAGCACATAACATCGGTTTAATATATGTATACTTAAACTGTATGTTGTACCTAATGTCATTATACAGGTTAATTCTCTATTTTAGAAATAAATGCGCTTGTAGAAAAAATGTTGATCGTAACACGTGCTAGAAGCACTTTTACGCACTCACCTGCGCGTCGTGCGGGTAACGCAGTTTCGTGCGTAAAAGTGCATCTTCTAGCACTTGTTGCGATAACTACTATAACGTGATTATCCGGTTTACAAAATATATTTTTATTCACCAACATAAACAGTATCGACTATCGAACTTTTTCCAATACGCTTTGCACAACTCCATGTGAAAACCACAAAGAGTTAGCACTAGTCGCGGTCGGGCAGTATAAACAACAAAAAAAAACATAACTGAATAAAACAAGAACTTAAATAATTGCAGAGTTAAAACGTTAAGAAATACAAAGTTTATCGCAATCAACTAACATAAAAAATGCATGCTGCGCATTAAATTTTAAATAAAATAAGCTTTCAAATGAAGTGCCATACTTTACAATTGGTAACAGTTTTTTATCTAGCTAAGGGGCGTTTAAATCAAAAGTAATGAATAGTTATATTGCAGAATTCTCATTAAAATTATCTTTTCATTGACGTATCATACTTATCACTATCCTATTTAAATTGTATTGGTTAAAGTAAAAAAGTCAAGGGGAAAGACGTATGGCAGTTAATTCAAACTAAAATCGATTTGTTTGAGCGTTTTTTAAAATCCACAATAATATTACTCAAAACCCCATGTCAAGTTTTCGTTGGGTTACCTTGTATAGAGTATTATTATTAAAGAAAATTAACTTATAAATATCAAACTTTTAACAAAATATAAATAAAATAGATCGATCCCATGTTATTACAAAGAAATGCTGAATAAATAGTTTTGAAAACTATTAGAACCAGTTGTGACGTTTGATATAAAATGGTAATACAATTTCGACTTGCTAAAAAAATATTCACCATAGACAAGAAATAGTAAACAGTTTACAACAAAAACCTTTAGCAATTTGCAATTATAAAATGTACCCATGACCAAGTCCGGTTCTCTTTATTTTAAAATAAATAAATATAGCCGTCAATGGAACCTCTAAAATTTAAATAAATGTTAGTTTCCTTTATGGGCGTCACACTTTGCACTTTTATTATAAATACAGCTTTTTACATCACACCTTGCCATTTGAATTTGGACAAACAACAATCTGACATGTTATGTACTCATATTACTTAACTATGATTGGTCGGTGTTTATATTTTATAATGAATAAAACATTAAAAATATAAATCTATAATATTCAATTGCTATATTGTGATAGAGCTTAACAAGAAAATTATTTTTTTCTTTAAATATGGCTTTTTCTTAATTACAGCAAGAATTCCAGCACAATAATTATATTAAATAATTTACCGTTGAAAAACTAACCAACAAATTGATTTTAAATTGAATTTTGTACATTCTAAATCATTAAACAAACATTAAATGTCAAAAGAAATACCAGCTTATCACGCTACATATGCATTACCATGCGGACTTTATAGTATCATTAATATAATTATTATAAATTCACAACTTTTTTGTTGTAAACTTTCCACTGCAATTGACGCAAAGTGTTAATATGAAAAATGGGATGCTATTATTAATGTAAATTAACTTGATGGTACTTTCCGCTACTGCAGTTTTAATGCTTAACATCTCATTTAAATGTAACTTCTTTAAAGAATATTTTAAAAAATAATAGACTCAAAATAATTCTACATAAAAATATTATTAACAATAGATTACATTGCACCACCTGACTGATCTTATGGCACAGATCAACCGTTTCTGATAGTGCTACGTGAATAAATTAACATGTGACATATTGATATAAATAACTTAATAATGATTACTGATCAGAAAAAGGCCTAATTTAATAATTGTGCTACTTTTACTAGCGACTGCTCCTCTATTACAGAAGTACAATTAAAATTTATTCGCACCACTCGAGATTACTACCGGATGAAAGAACGTAAACGAATCTAATGACAGCTGTGCATGCGTAACAGCTACTACCTATCCATTTACATCTGACGTAAACATATTTGTGTTCTTACTTAACAGTGGCGTGCTGTGACATTTTTGGAAGGGGAAGCGATTGTATAAAAATACAGCAAACGCAGGCGAAAATTTTTCGCGGCGCATTCACCATTTATTTAAAATCTTGCTTTTTTTTCCTCAGTACTACGGATATTCGAGATTGAGATTTTTGAAGTGTTACTAATACTTTATAACCTTACTTAGTACTAGAAGAAAAACTTACCATTGAAAAACTTCCTTGGTTTATTTAAACGTAAAAAAAACATTTAACTGAAGTTATTTTTATTTTTTCCAGCATTTTTCGCACAGTTGACACAGCAGTTGACATTTATTTATACTTAAAATCTATTCGCCTATCCTCAATGGCTGCAAATTTGTTTATAACATATTCGTAAAATTTTGGATTTTCTGATAACTGTTTAACAAGCTGTTTTTCAATGGATATTGGGGCTAAATTAGAGGTTCTGTCTTTACTTGTTGAATTTCGTATAACACTTTTATTGCGCTTTAAAGCTGAAAAACTTCGCTCAACTAACGCACTTGTGGCTGGGATGGTTAGTACTAATTCACACAACTTGACTACTTCACAAAAGGACTTATTTAACCAGTTGTTATAAGAAAATTTAACACATTCATAGGCGTCTTTTTATCACTAATTTCAGTTGTTTCATAATCAACACTTAACTGGGACTTTAATGCTGGAATATTGAAAAAAATTTCATAATTTAATTTTAGTAAAGTAAAATCTTTCGATTAAAATTTTGATGAATCGTAGTTACTAATAATAAATTGCACAATTCAACAAATTTTAATTCGTTAAAGTTCTGAAATCGAGAGTTCATTTGTTGTAAAATTTCGGCGTATAATCGACGATAGGAGGTCTCTCTGTCGCCGACATTAACAATTCTAAATCTTTTTCTTTCAGGTTCTAAGCAAGTGTTTGAATTCTGATTCCAAAAGTATTTAACTGATCTCTTTTTTTATTCATTTTACTTTTAAAATTATCAATTTGTTTAATGCAAAAGCTAATGTTATTTGACTTTGTCTGTAAAATGTCGAATAAAATGTCAGTAAAAGGGAAATATCTAAAAAAATATTGAGCAAAAAATTAAAATCAAAGTTTTGTTTGAGCCAATGCAAATGCCCTTTAGCGGCAGTAATAGTTTCAGCATCCCATGCTTCTTTATTATCTAAAACGTCTTAAAAAAAGTGTATCAAAGAATCACGGTATTAAAACACTGTTTGCACTTAACGTTCATTGTAGTTCAATCGCGTCGGAGCAACTTTTGGAAACCTTTTTTGAACGAGGATGTCCATGGCGCGAGTTCTTTTCGATGACTTTGAATAGCCAAACCACTAAGCGTCGAAAATAAAACTTTGCAATCTTTAATATTATCTATGCTTCGCGATAAAACGAAAGTAAGTCTCTGTGTTATACAGTGGACGAAAATTGCATGTTTAAACTTCTCTTTTACTTTAGCTTGAAGGCCTCCTAAATGGCCAGCCATTATGGCAGTACCATCGTAGCTCTGGGCAACAAGCTTAAAATCACATTCTAAACTTGAAATAATGTCACAAACAATTTTTAACAATGCATCTGCAATTCTTTCGCTAGTGACGTCAAAAAATCCTAAGAATCGCTCTTGAGAAATGCCATCCAATACATATCGCACAACAGTGGATAATTGACTTAAATTTGCTACATCTGTGGTTTCATCAAGCGCAATTGATACAAAAGGTGCTTTTTTAATTACACTTTTATTGTGATCCATCACAACGTTGGCAGTGCATTTAATTAAATAATTTTGGATTCTGTTTGAGGTACCTCGGAAAGTCGTCAAATCAATATAATGATTTTTTAGGGTATCATCGTATTTTGCTAAAAAAACTTAGAAGATCCATGTAATTTCTTTAATTGACGGATCCACTTGCTTCATTGTGACCCCTATGTTATGTTGATAATGGGGTGTTAATACACTGCGACCTAAAAGATCTATTGTGCCCCCTTCTGTCGCCACTGCACTAAAGAAATGTCTCAATGCCTATAGCGACCCTTCCAATCCTATTTTCTCAAGGAAGTGTAGGATTAGAAGTGGCTTCAAGTTAGGTAAGTCTCCCTCTTCTATTTGATATCCTCCTAGATATAGTGCCCTTGGATTCTGGAGTGCTACACATTCAGTTAGGATGTGAATTGAGGTTTCGTCCTCCTCCTCACAGAATCTGCACTCACTATCCTCTACTACTCTCAGTTTACTTAGGTGTCCTTTTAGTCGGCAGTGCCCGGTAAGGATCCCTGTTACAATACGTAGCCTGTTCTTGCTCAGGCAGATGCAGGCTTCCGATCTTTTTTGGTTATATTCACCCAGAAGTATCTTGGCCTGTCTCAGCCCCAAGAGATTGCTCCAATTATCGGTTCTTCTACTACCCAATTCTTTTTTAATCTCTTCTAATATTATGTTACTGCTGATACCGCAGAACGGCTCAGGTCCTACAAAGGGTGTTTGAGCCCCTTTCCTTGCAAGACTATCTGCAATCTCGTTACCCTGTACCCCGTTATGTCCCGGGACCCAAGTGAGAGTAACTCTATTTTTCTCGCCTAGCTCATTCAATTGTTCTAGGCATCTCCATACCATTTTTGAGCTGATTACGTAAGAACTCAGCGCTTTGATGGCTGCTTGACTATCGGACATGATAATAATCTCTTGTCTATGATAGTTTCTCTCGATGTTAAACTGGATATACTTCTCGATGGCGTGAATTTCCGCCTGGAAGATGCTTGTGTATTTTCCCAAGCTTTCGGAGTGCTTGGTTCTCGGCCCATACACTCCTAGTCCAGTTCCTTCTATGGTTTTGGAACCGTCCGTGTACCACTGAATAGCACGTCTTTCGGTTGCAAGCGCGATGGATTCTTGGCTCCATTCTTTCTTGCAGCCCAGCTCTGTGGTTTTGAAGTTTTTCACAATACTGTACTTCTTTTGCATTTCATCCTGGGGCATGTCCCAGGTATCTTTAGTCCTGAAGCAAGTAGACTTTCGTCTGATTACTCCGCTCATGATCATTCTATTGTGACCCCTAAAACTTAGTTCATGCACTCCCAGGAAACAAATTACATCTATTAATCGTTGCAAGACGTCCCTATTTTTTTTGACCCTTTCATTGTGAATTTTGTTGCTTATTTCTAAACAATTGTCCAAACTATGTTCAATGCGATAGGTCCCGAATGTTTTTTCTTTAATTGTAGCAATTATATGAGATTTGCTATTTACATGTCGTTTTACACTTTTGTGAAACTTATTCAAGTCTGTAAAACCGACTGAGTTCCAATGTGTTTTTTCGGCTATATTAAAAAGTAGGCAAGGCCAGCAAAACAATTTCTTCAAAGTTTTGCAGCCGGTTAACCATTCATACTTTTCAGAGAACCCTACGTGAAAATGCCTGGTAAATTTCTTTGCCGACTTTTCTAGTTTCGTCTCTAAATTAATAGGATCCGTTAGTTTACTAGAATTAATAATGTCCATTTTCTCTTAAAAATTTCTATTTGAAAATTCTTTTTTAATAAAGAGCACACAATACAGACAGAATTTACCACATTATTATTGTTTACAGGCATAGTGCATAGTTCCTCCATTTTACAAAAAGAAAACTACGGAAAACAAACCAAAATCTATCTGAAGTCTACGATTTTCCTTACGTCGATTCGCTGTGCGAATTGCAATATGCGTAATGCGACGTACATATCGCTGCCTCTCGACCGTATTTCACTTGCGCAAACAGACTGACTACTGATGCTGCAACGTAGGATCAATAACACGAAGTGAAATCAATAAAAAGATGAGCCGGCCTTTTCAAGACGCGCTTCCGATGATGGACACAAAGTATATGGTGTGGTGTGTGCGTTTACACAATTAATTTTCTCATGGGTGGTGCGTGCGTTTACACAATACACCAATGAAACGTACATTTACGAAGTTTACGTAATGTTTCAGAGAAAATATAGTACCTAATTTAATATTAATTTCTATGCATTGTAAACTAGAAAATATTTATTTTTAAATCTCTAAGTGTAGGGAAGCGGTTCTTCCTCCGCTTTCATGGACCGCACGCCCCTGTTACTTAGCCCTATTATAATACTGTCTTACACCAGGTCCGACACTGGTTATTGCTGACTATGAAGACTAGAGAGAAAGAGGCGAATTAGCAATGGTTAAATATAAAATTTCCGTCCTTCTTTTTATAAAGCTCACGAAATTGACTGTAGTTGGCATGTCGAATGATAGCAGTATCAATTTTCTATGTAAGTCAATGTAAAATGAAGTGATTTTTTAAAAAATTGGTGAAAAGGATCAAAATAATGTGAAAAAAGTACCTGAGTACAAGTAACATGAGTAACAAAAAACATCAAAGCAAGATTTACGTCGTTCCAGATTTTAAAAAAGGATAATATTCAAATGTAAAACTAAAGAAAACAAAAGAAGAAATCAATTCAATGTCTTTCTAAAGCTTTTGATGTAAGTAAAATAATGTATTCATGTCTAACTATTTATAAATAAATAATATTTATTGTAAACTAGTCACAATATGTATTTTACGAAGTGTAGTTTATTTTATTATAAGTTTTTATATTGTAAAATTTTACAGTCATAGATGCTAACTTACAAACAACATTAAATGCATTAAATTTAACTTACTAGAAAAAAAATTAATTTTTAATAGAGTTTTAGTGTTAAATAAAGAGCTGCTGCGTTATTTTTTTTTTGGACCCCAATTGTGTCATTGTAAATGTTTTTTACTTCTGTATACAGATATAAGGAAAGTATAGGAATCATGATTTTTTCGACCTCGAGTTTTCGACGGATTTTTACGTTTTGAGGTCTACTGAATACGTTTTGAGGTCTCCTGAATCCGTTTTAACTATTTTCGCGATGATGTGTGTGTGTGTGTGTGTGTGTGTGTGTGTGTGTGTGTGTGTGTGTGTGTGTGTGTGTGTGTGTGTGTGTGTGTGTGTGTGTGTTTCAACAATAAAAAATCTGTTTACTGTGTTTTATTTTACTTTTAAAACTATATATTGGTTTATTTAAAAAAAAAAATTGCCATAAAATTGTACCTTTCCAAATTTGGTGATATATACCTAATTTTTATTTTATATTGGTAAAATTAAATAGTTTATCAATTAAAACATGCAAGACTTATTTAGAAATAAATACAACAGTATGTTCTGTGCTTTATTTAACTATGAACAAGTTTATTTTTATTATTTTGACAAAATTATGTATAATTCCCATAAGAAGCCATGCGATTAATAATAGAAGTTCAATTAGCATGCGTTTTTTGGGACCGTATTTTGAGTATGCCGATTCACCAGTATCTCTAGTCTTCATATTGCTGACCTTCAACGATGCCGTTACCACTGACTCTGGCTATCAATAATTGACTGAAATGTTCATTTTTTTAGAATTGGATTTTTTATGTTTATGTTACATTTTTGTATATACGAGTAAATAAATTTTTAAACCGTTTTTAATTTTAAATTCAGAAATAAGTATTTTCAAATAAAGATAAACTGTTAAATAAATAAGAAGTGTGTGAAATATAAATAGTGATTAAGTATAAATAAATTAATTGGTATTTAGTGTAAATAAATTATTAATAAACTGTTTTAGGTAAAGAAATAATTTTAAAAATAAACAAACGTTAGATTGGTGTTATAAGTCGGAATTTTGTAAATAAATAGTGAGTAAAAATTGCTAACGAGCTGTGTAATTTAAAAGTGACTGATTTACGTCGAGAAGTAAAAGGACGTGAATTAAAGACGACAGGCAAGAACGACTTAAAAAAAGAAATAAAAAGTGAAGGTTTGAATCCTGAAACGTATTTGTTTACGGATGAAGCGCGTCTTCTATAATTTCTTCATTCTCTTCCTTTAAAAATAAAAGACATTTCTTCCGATGTCTCTTGTATAATAAATTATATTTCTTCCATAGAAAATAAAATTTCTTCTGATATTTCTACATTCTACATTTTACATTCTACATAAAATTTATTCCTTAGAAGAAAAGATGTCTTCTGAAATGCCTTCTATAGAAATTACTCTTCTTGATATATCTTGAAGAAGAAATAAAATTTCTTTTTTTTTGAGGACTACATAAAAGAAATTAAAAAAAGAAAGAGAAAATAAAACATGTAGAATAGGTCAAGCACAAACAAATAAAGCGCTCTATGAATTAGATTCAAAGTTAAAATTAAAAGTTGTTAATTATGTTCGTGTTAAAGCCCGAACTTTCAACGGGGAGGTATCTTGGACCAAATACCATAAACAGTTCAAAATATTTACCAGAGCAAACTAATGGTCTAAAAGAAGAAAGGCAGTAAATTTAAAGATAGCACTTTAAGAAAACGCTTTAGATTTTTTTGCAGAATATACTTACGGAAGAGACAGAAGAATTTAAACAATTTAGAAAGAGACCAAATATGCGATATGGCCACAAAATACTTGGAGCATTTATACAAATCACAGCTGAAAAATTGCAAACAGGAACGTGACATGGCTCTTCGAGTATACGAAGTAGATATTGCCAGGTGTTTGCGTAACCAGCAGCTTCAAAAAACCTGATAAAATGTTTAGGCTGCAAACATTTGACGGTGAACTCTGCCATCATAAAATATAGAAAAAACTTCGTTTGGCCCGTCACACAACATTGGTCGATGTCTTGTCTGCTGCTTTTAAGTATGAGGCAGATACTCACACTTCAGTAAAGCAAATATTGTAAAAAAA